AGTGGGGACCTGAAGCTCTGAGCGGCGTTTACCTATCCAACAGGGGACCTTTTGAAACTTTTTTGAAACTTTTTCTCTAAGATATTTCAGAACACCTAAATATATACACTGCCCAACTTAAATGAGCACACACACATTTGATCTATTTCTCAGTGAATGTTACTGTATTTTTACTAAAACACACACCAAGTGGGGACCTGAAGCACTGAGCGGCGTTTACCTATCCAACAGGGGACCTTTTGAAACTTTTAACTTTAATTAACTTTATTTAAATGATAACTTTTGAAGAATTAAACCTTTACTTATTATTAAATATTCTGAAAGAAACATTAAATGCTAAATAAATAATAGTTTTTTTTTTGATCAGGTTTCAGAGGTTTTGTTGTGAAGTGAGAAACTAAATTACCCAACTGTGTTCAGTTTCATTTTAGTGGTTAATGTCAAAATAATTAAATTTTTTATATTTATTTGAAGTATAAGAATAAAGTCTGAGTTATTTACAATTTATCACGATTGACTGATGTATGTAGTATTTTCTTTTTCTTTTCTTTTTTTAAAGAAAAATACATGATTTTGTTTCTAATTACTGGTAAGCTGGTATGTTTTTTATTCTTTTAAGTATTTTTACAGTGTATGTTTTAAGGCAATTGCTGTTTTTTAAATAATTATCAACACTGTTGTTTCAGAGATATTCAACAAGTGAAATATTAGTAAATATGAAGTCATCTGAACATGTGTTGCTCCATACTATCTAAGCTAGGCTGGTTAAGAACGATGTTTCATTTATTCGTCATTTCTCAGCATCACAAACACAACATAAAGATTTTGGAGCTCAAAACTCAATATTTGTTTTACTGCTGAATACTGTTTTTTTTCAAGGGTTTCAAAGGTTTTGTTGTGAAGTGAGGAACTAAATTACCCAGTTGTGTGTAGTGTCAGAATATTTGCATTTTTTAACATTTATTCAAGGAATAGGAATGAAATCTGATTTATTTATAATTTATCCATCACTGTAAAATGCTGGGTTCCACACAACAGAGTTGTGTTGGGAAAACATGAAGGAATTAAGTCAACTTATTAGTCCACATCTCTAGGATGTTTCAAAACACCTAAATATATACACTGTCCAATTTAAATGAGCACACACACATTTGATCTATTTCTCAGTGAATGTTACTGCATTTTTACTAAAACACACACCAAGTGGGGACCTGAAGCACTGAGCGGCGTTTACCTATCCAACAGGGGACCTTAGCTGGAACACTGAATTTTTAATCATAATCTAACTTTATTTAATGTTAAACTTTAGGACAAACTTTGGCCACACTAATATATTTTTTGTTTAAAACACATATTTGTTTCGGCCTTCTTTCCACACTGAGATGGCATTTTTAGGAAATGAAAAATGGATATTTACCATTTATTTATGAAAAATATGACAACGGCATTTTCGTGTTGCAGTGTGGACTGTGGAAACTGCTTTCATAATAAAGCTGCCAATGAACATCATCAAAAACATCTGCTTTAGATTAATGTCAGTTTGGTCATGCTCCAGTCTGTCTGGAAATACATGAAGAAACAGAACAAACTGACAAAAACTCAATCCAGAACTTTGGCCAAATCTCTAAGATATTTCAGAACACCTAAATATATACACTGCCCAACTTAAATGAGCACACACACATTTGATCTATTTCTCAGTGAATGTTACTGTATTTTTACTAAAACACACACCAAGTGGGGACCTGAAGCTCTGAGCGGCGTTTACCTATCCAACAGGGGACCTTTTGAAACTTTTTTGAAACTTTTTCTCTAAGATATTTCAGAACACCTAAATATATACACTGCCCAACTTAAATGAGCACACACACATTTGATCTATTTCTCAGTGAATGTTACTGTATTTTTACTAAAACACACACCAAGTGGGGACCTGAAGCTCTGAGTGGCGTTTACCTATCCAACAGGGGACCTTAGCTGGAACACTGAATTTTAATCATAATCTAACTTTATTTAATGTTAAACTTTAGGACAAACTTTGGCCACACTAATATATTTTTTGTTTAAAGATGAAGATTTAAACCTTTACTTATTATTGAATATTCTGATAGAAACATTTAATGCTAAATAAGTTCTACCTGCAAATATTTTAGGCTTGACATTGAAAGTAATACATGTAATAGATATAAAGCATACAAATAAAACATACAAAAAATATATTTTTTATAATTTGCCCAATTTCGGAATGTTTATAAAAAAATCTCTCAAGTATTTTTACAGTGTACGTTTTAAGGCAATTACTGTGTTTTTTTTATTTTTATAATTAATATATATTCAGTCTTTTTACAGTTTTTACAGTTACTTTTTATGTTTTAAGGCAATAACTGTTTTCTTTTTCAATAATTATCAACACTGTTCTTACAGAGATATTGAAAAAGGGAACTATTAGTAAATATAAAGTCATCCAAACATGTGCCGCTCAATACTAAAGGCTGATTTATACTTTCTCCTGGCGCAGCATCGTGAACCTCTGCTGACAGCGTGCGCAACATACAGACGAGCCTTTTATGACGCGTCCGCTGTTGACATATTCTTTACAATGTCAGGTGGTTGTCAAAAGAAAACCCCCGGAAAATCAGACAGATAAATAGAGAAGTCATTAATAATCATATATATTTATCATAAATGTCGTTCAAGATTTTTTTTTAATTATTGTTATTTTAAACAATTTTTATAATCATTTAAGATTTTTTTATTTTCAAACTTTGTTGCATCACTTGCTTTTGTGTTTATATCTCTGACAGTTCTACCTAAAGTTTATTAACATATTAATGACAACAGAACATGGGTTGCTATATAAACATATAAGTTTATCATGGCAAGAATACAAGCAAAAAATATATGAAAAATACACAAATTCAAACAAAAAGTTACCTTAGGGCTATTACTTATTATTTTACTTGTATTTAAACTGTTTATATTTATTTGGTCATAAATGCATAACACATTACTCTGTATAATATAAACATTTTCACAATTCGTAAATTAACTGTTTAAGTTAAATGTGCAATTTTCACAATATTGACTCAAACTCTTCGTACAAATATGTAGTTTAACCCTGAAAATGTAGATAACACATAAACATCAAAACACTTCAAAACTTGTTTTTAGTCAGCGTCTAAACAAAAGTAAATTACATCTGAAGGTTTTTCACGTGGCCAATAACAGTAGCTGTCAAATCTATCTACATACGAATCATTGCACAAAAATAAAAATCGTTCAAGTCATACTTCAATTAAATAAGCAAATATATATTTAAAGGTTTGTATTTTATTTGACAAAGTATATAGTACTCTGCAGTGTTTGTGTGTGTATGTGTGTTATATTTACTATGAGTGTTACATAATACATACTATTTTACAAACATTTCTGCCTGATGATTCAAAATAGGAGACAAAGCTTTTTTTTACCTTGCTAAATTATAAAGCAAACACAAGCATGCTGACTCTATTTTTTAGATTTAGCCCATTCCACAATACACACATTACTGTCTGGCTGGTTTGTGTCCTCTACTGATATGCTAAAAAGGCAATAATGGTCCAACATTTCTGACCATTATCGCCAGTAAAGCCCAGATAAACAGGCCATTAGTACACTGTAAACTGATTGGTTAAAATTTTTCTTTCTAGTCAAAAGAATAATTTAGTTTAGTGTCATTTTAGTGTTTAATATTTCTTTGCATTTATTTGAAGGAGTTATTTAAAATTTATCACGATTGACTGTATGTAGTATTTTTTTTTAAAGAAAAATACATGATTTTGTTTCTAATTACTGGTAAGCTGGTATGTTTTTTATTCTTTTAAGTATTTTTACAGTGTATGTTTTAAGGCAATTGCTGTTTTTTAAATAATTATCAACACTGTTGTTTCAGAGATATTCAACAAGTGAAATATTAGTAAATATGAAGTCATCTGAACATGTGTTGCTCCATACTATCTAAGCTAGGCTGGTTAAGAACGATGTTTCATTTATTCGTCATTTCTCAGCATCACAAACACAACATAAAGATTTTGGAGCTCAAAACTCAATATTTGTTTTACTGCTGAATACTGTTTTTTTTCAAGGGTTTCAAAGGTTTTGTTGTGAAGTGAGGAACTAAATTACCCAGTTGTGTGTAGTGTCAGAATATTTGCATTTTTTAACATTTATTCAAGGAATAGGAATGAAATCTGATTTATTTACAATTTATCCATCACTGTAAAATGCTGGGTTCCACACAACAGAGTTGTGTTGGGAAAACATGAAGGAATTAAGTCAACTTATTAGTCCACATCTCTAGGATGTTTCAAAACACCTAAATATATACACTGTCCAATTTAAATGAGCACACACACATTTGATCTATTTCTCAGTGAATGTTACTGCATTTTTACTAAAACACACACCAAGTGGGGACCTAAAGCTCTGAGCGGCGTTTACCTATCCAACAGGGGACCTTAGCTGGAACACTGAATTTTTAATCATAATCTAACTTTATTTAATGTTAAACTTTAGGACAAACTTTGGCCACACTAATATATTTTTTGTTTAAAAACACATATTTGTTTTGGCCTTCTTTCCACACTGAGATGGCATTTTTAGGAAATGAAAAATGGATATTTACCATTTATTTATGAAAAATATGACAAATGCATTTTTTTAATTATTTATTGCCAGTTTAACATTTTATAAGATTAGTCAAATTAAAACTAACCAGTTACCAATGTTTTGAACCCCCATTCGTTCCTACTGAAATTTGCATGACTATACCAACATTAATGGGGCTATTTGAGTCTTATCCAATCATGATCCAGATACAGTAGCTGGGTCGGTTTGTGTGAATATATATTCTGGGTACTTAACAGAACCTCCATTAACTTTTTTGCTAAGTAACAAATAACAACTTTGGAGGACAAAACTGCTTGTAGATTACTACATTGGAGATTTTTCAACCTACTAAATAGACCATACAAAGAAAAGTCTACTGAGGCCATATTTCATCCAACTTTGTCATTTAAGACAGAAAAGGTAAGTTGCACATTCTCAATTTATATTATAATAATATCTAAATGCTAACATGATAAAATGTTTGTTAAAAATGCAATGTAGTGCTTTGGTGAATTTTTACTATATACTAATTTTTTATTATAATTTTTTTTGTAAGTCAGTAATGTAAGTAAAGCTTTATTTATATAGCACCTTTTAATAAAAGTAAATCGGAAAACAGGTAAAAGAAAATATATCAATATGGTCAAATGCACTGTACCCTAAATATGTTTTAACATATTTCATAGGAATATGAGACCTAGAAGAGTCTGTGCGGAAAAGGAAGCTTTGGAATTTATTGCTTCTGGAACAGATAAAGACATCTTTCAGAAAAAAGTTATAAGTCAAGAGAAAGGTAAGTTATCATTCAAGATTCTGCCTCCAGCACTGTAAGACTGTAAATCCCATCTAACAACGAATTTGATTAACACATATAAAAAGACATTAGTGTGTGGATGTGGAATGTGTGAAATCTTTAAAACATTAAAGTATGATTGGGATTGATTTTCTTTCAAATTATTTCTATACAATTAGTGTTTTTCCTGTTTAGACTGCACCAGCCAGAATGCTCCTGTATTATGATGTCACATACATTGTAAATCTAGACATACACAATGTAGACTATTTTTACTGAATATGGCTACACAGATAAGCATTTACTTAATCACACTTGTAAATACAGTATGAACCTTTTATATAAACTATTTTACTTTTTCACAACAATATGACTTACACAAAACCATATCATTGCGACCTTACAGAAAACCAGTCATAAGTGTCAATTGTATACATTTTTCTGAAAAATAAGAATAAATTAGCTTTGCATTGATTTATGGTTTGTTGAAACAGGACATTATTTGTCAGAAAAACAATTACTTCAGAAATCTGAGGGAGCAAAAAATCTAAATATTGAGAAAAAGTTTACTCTATTTTAAAAGTGGTTTAAAACTTAGCTCTAAAACTTGGTTTACCTCTTAGCAATGCATATTACTAGTCATGAATTCAGTTTTGATGTATTTATGGTAAGAAATTGTCAATGGAAAATAACTTAATGTTTTATTGATTTTTGGGAATAAAGTCAAATCTATTATTTTAACCCATGCGATGCAATTTTGGTTTTTGCCAAAAATATACCCATGCAACATAAGGTTGGTTTGTGGTCCAGGGTCACATATAAGCTATACAGTTATGGGCTTCATAAGCAGTACCACCTGTAAGGATGTTGTTTGCATTTGTTCAGACAAAAAAACATTTCCCTAAAAACTTCCTAAAATGTTGCAAATGCAAAAACACATTTATTTGTGAATTGGAGGACTCTAATAACAACATCTAAAAGGTGAACACATTTTGTTTGCTGTTTATATATATATATATATATATATATATATATATATATATATATATATATATATATATATATATATTTGTGTCGCACAGGGTTATAATCACTTATACTCTATTTATTAGGTTATGGAGTAATTGCCTGCAAAGACATTGAGCCAGGAGAATTCCTGCTTGAGTATGCTGGAAGACACATAACTGGATCTGAAGGAGAGGCTCTGTTTAAAGAGTACTCAGCTGAAGATGCCGCGTTTCTGTACTTCTACTCCTACCAGGGACATTTATATTGGTAAGATGATTGTTCTATGATAAGATGAATTGTTCATATATATATATCTATATATAGTTTGTATGTTTGCTTTAAACTTACAATCATTTTGTCAACAATTATATTCACACAGTGTTGATGGCAGTAAAGACACAGAACGACTTGGACGATTCATTAACGATGATCACATTAAGCCGAACAGCAAAATTAAAATAGTAAGTCCATCTTTGTATTATTTACTTGTATTAATTTATACCTACAGTTTCATATCATCAAGCCAAACAGCTATAATGTATTTTATATATATATATATATTCATACACAATACATGACTACTTATATGATGATTATTTGTGCGTGTGTGTGTTTGTTTGTTTGTGAACAACAGATATGTGATGGTGAAAAAAGACCACATTTATGTGCGTTTGCAACTACAAAAATCCCTGCAGGAGAAGAAATTGTCTTTGACTATGGAGATCCTGACTGCCCATGGAGACATGTATGTAAATTTGCAGTTATATAATGTGAGCAATTTATTTCATAAAGCTATTTATTTCATAAAGTTTCATAAAGACCTCATCCACAGAGGTCATGGTAAATGTATATAGTTTCTATTTATTTTATGTTTCTAAGTTATAGTTTCTATGTAATTTATTTAGTTTCTTTATTTGACTTTCTAAGTGAAAACATGACAGCAGGACTAAATCAAGAGTTACGTATTTCTTACACTTGTTTTACAGGAAATAGCCAATATGGATAATTCCTTGCCTCAACAACACAATGAGATAGACATCTCAGAGAATGTTTGCGATGATGTGACGGAATCATCATTATCCAACAATGAAGAGGAATGCTCTAAATGTGAAATGGTAATTAAGTGTTTATTTACATAACCATTGATTTGGAATAACGCAGAGACTGTTGCAAAGTAATTACATGCAAATGTTTATGAATTTCAGAACAACATGGATCAACAGCTTTCCCTTTTCGTGGAAATGTTGGAAGAAGAAGAAGAGGGAGAAAAAGAGGAGGGTGAAGAAGAAGAAGAGGAAGAAAAAGAGGATAATGATGAAGAAGAAGTAAGCGAAACAAAAGAAGTACAAGGGAAAATAGAAGCACAAAAAGCCATCCGTGGTAAACCACTTAAGAAGACAATGACAGAAATGGATGAAAGTGCTAATGATTGTCAAAATCAACATATGATTAAGGTGAAAACGTCCTCAAACAAACCATGCCAACGGATCTACGACAAAAAGAATGTCTGCCTTTACTGTGAAAAGCCATATGCAAAAATAACAAGACATCTCAAACAAAAACATCATGGAGAAGTTGAAGTTGCAAAGGCATTGTCACATAAGCAAGGCTCAAGCATGCGAAATCTTTTATTAACTAAAGTACGGAACCTGGGAAATTTCCACCATAATAGTGCAGTCCTATCCACAGGAAAAGGGGAGATCATACCAAAAAGGCAAGCTTTGAATGTGTCAGTAGCAACTGACTACCTGCCTTGCAAGTTTTGCTTTGGTATGTATGTCAAAACTGACCTCTGGAGGCATCATAAACGTTGCAAGTTACAAAAAAAAGAGAATATTCTGGTGAGGCGGAAGGTTCAGGCAAGCTGTTCCCTGCTGTTGCCCATGGACTCAACAATTTCAGCTGGACTTCAAAAGATTATTGGAGACATGACATATGATGCTGTAACCCAGGTGGTAAAATCAGACACATTAATTTTGTCATTAGGTGAAAGAATGTTCCTAAAGAATGGTGAAGTTGGACGATACCGCGCTGACATCAGAAATAAGATGAGGGAACTTGCCAGACTACTTCTTGTGGCAAGATCCATTGACAAGGACATTGTTACTTTGAAGGACTTGATCAACCCAGCAAAGTTTAACACAGTACTTGAAGCTGTGAAAAAGATGACCGGATTTGACGGATCAACAAATAGATTTTCAGTTCCATCAACAGCACTTAAACTACGACATTCTCTTATTAAAGTGGCACAAATTTTGCAAGGGGAGGCTTTACGCCACGAAGATGAAGCTTTAAAGGGACGAGCAGAGCACTTTAATAAGCTTATTGAACTGGAATGGACAATCCATGTGTCATCAAATGCACTAAAAACACTATACCAGAAAAAATGGAATAGTGCACAAATTCTACCTCTAGCAGAAGACATCAGGAAGCTTCAAAAGCATTTAAAGTATCTTGAGGAGGTCAACAAACAAGAACTCAATGACCATCCATCCAAAAGCTCATGGAGTGATCTCTCCCAAGTCACTCTTTCACAGTTAATTTTGTTTAATCGGCGTCGTGAAGGAGAAGTTTCTAGAATGGAGGTCAAAACATATCTGCAGAGAAACCACATCAACATACAGGATGATATTTTGGAGAGTCTATCACCGTTTGAGAAGAAATTATGTGAGAATCTCACCAGAATAGAAATAAGAGGAAAGAGGGGTCGGAAAGTTCCAATATTATTACCAGCAAATGTAAAGGAATCAGTAGAACTTCTAATCAAAACAAGAGAAGATGCTGGGATTTCTCAAGCTAACCCTTACATATTTGCCCGTCCCAATTATGGATCACTAGAGAACATGCGTGGATGTGACAGCTTAAAGCGATACGCTAAAAGCTGTGGGGCTAAACATCCAGAGAACATCACTTCTACTAAATTGAGAAAACATGTGGCTACAGTTTCTCAGTTACTCAACTTAAAAACACATGAACTTGACCAGCTTGCCACATTTATGGGACATGACATCTATGTCCATAGGGAGTTTTATAGACTCCCTGAAGAAACGTTGCAAATGGCAAAAGTCAGCAGAATTCTTTTTGCCTTGCAAAGTGGAATAAGCAAATATAAAGGACAATCTTTGGAGGACATAACACCTAACATAAACTGTAAGTAAATGATTTCTGTGTATTGTGCTTTATAAACAAGGGAAATGCTGCACACTTGGTAAAACTTTGTCAATTTAATATATTATAAATAATATTTAATCATTTCAGCTGAAGAGGGCTCCAGCTCAGACTCAGAGGATGGTAATTCTAAAAAACAGACAAGCAGAGGCGGTAAGTTTTAAGTTGTCATTTTTTAATATAATTATTACTAATATTGAGTTAGGAATTATATACTTAAATGCAATATGGCTATAATTTAGTGTGCAATTTTAATTAAGGGTTGCTTCTCCATGTTTCAGAAAATGCTGACAAAGAGAAAGATCTTTCTGAAATTAGGGATCTCGACTCTGGAAAGGCTGCAGCCTCTCATGAGGTGATTGGACATATGAGTAATCCACTATTGTCCTTCAGTCAAAAACGTATGTGATTCTATACACTAAAATACGGAAGTTCTAAGCATTTCTTTTTACAATTGAAAGATGTCTTTTGTGTTTTCAACTTGTATAACTCTGTAATACTGACATTACATTTTACTTATTCATTTCTTCGTATATTTAATAACCAACTAAATTTCTTTCTCCTCTCCTTCTTTATTAGGAAAACCCAAAAAGCCCTGGTCAGAAACAGAGAGGAAAGTCATAGAACTCTATTTCAAGAGCAACTTTAAAGAAATGAAGGCTCCTGGAAAAGTGGACTGTGAAAAATGCTTAAACAAAAATACAATTTTAAAGGATAATGGAAGAGATTGGAAAGCAGTTAAATACTTTGTGCACAACAGAATAATTTCGATTAAGAGGAATTTGACTCAAGGGTATCATGCTCTATATCCCTGAGAGCTTGTGATGTGGACTATCAGTGTTGAATCATAACTGTAATAGTCTATGTAAATGGAGCATCAGTGTGTCAAATAATTGATATTAGCTTGTTTTAGATGCATGTCTAAACTTTTCAAGCAACAAAGTCTATTCTGCTTGGGCCTCTCAGTTATTGAATGCCTTGTTATGACTTTGGTTTTAGCCACTTTAAAATTTTACAAATTTCTTTATTTTACCTTTAATACCACCTTTTTTCCTTTACCAAACTATATATGTTTATTGTGATTTTAAATTTACAGAAAGTGAAAGCAACTTATTTAAAAAGTATTACAGAAAAAAATATAGTATTATTTAATGTTATTGATTTTATTGTTGTCAACCTGTAGCCTGGAGCCACTTATCACTGAGGGTGGAATTGCACTACTGCAAGGGGGGTGGGGACGGGTGGGGTTGGGGGGCTGGTCTGGGGTGCTCTATTAGTGAGCTTATGCTATTTTGCAGGTAAACTCAGCTTGACAGTTTATCACTTTGAAGAGCATTTCCATTGTGTGTGCAACTTGCAATCCAACAAGTCAAAATGTGCAATAAGTGCTTTTAACAACTAAACGTTTTTAGGCAGCTGTAACTAATAATGAAATAAAACATTTTTTAAATAATAATGCAAAATAATATTAAAATAAAATGAATAAGAAAGTTTTAAACAGCAGAAAGTCATAAACAGCAACAGGTCTGTGCATGTAGCAGTGAACTCTGAAACAACCATGTTGGCAATAAAGTTAATTTAATTAATTTTGAAAAAAAATACAATTAAATGCAGCGCTGCACGAACTGTTCGCTTGAGTCTGTAAAAAAAATTGTGTGCTCTGCCAGCCGAAAGCATGTCGCGTGCACCCAAAGTGAACCCTGGCAAACACCGCGATAATGTCACAGATATTTGTTGACTTGGAAATGTGCAGCTGGCTCACATTATTTATATGACCTAAGGATGTTCAATTTTATGTTGTTTTATTTCCCTGATTGACAACTTACACTTGTTAACCAGTCCTTACCTGTTAGTGACATGTACCTTTGGAATTAAATCTAACCAATATAATGCACAATATTGACATCATGGGTCAATGATTCATTCAGTCATGACCACTAGTAGCTTTTAACTTCATATTAATTAAATTAAATATAATAAATACAATTAAATGCAGTACAACAATGAAACATGTTACCTAAACTGAGATGTGATATGTTTTTTAGGTTTAGGTCCACGGTTTGTGCACAATGCTCTTATGTTGTAAAATCAAAGCCACATATTGCAACAGCAACAAAACACTGTGGAACGTCTGATCAACACTAGAAAAGTCTCTTGAAATCAGTACTGACCCTGATAAAGCAGACATATTCACTCACAGATTCACTTTTCCACTAACAGCCACAGTTCAGCTTCTGGAATTGGTTCGCATGAACATTTTTAAACCATCAAAGTGGATTTTTAATATAATTATCTTTTTAGTTTCATCTGTGTTGTCTTGTATGTCAAATATTGAAATGTTAGCAGTGTTTTCATGAGTGTGAAATTTAGTTTATGATATTGTGACTTTGCTGAGGTATGTGTGTGTTACTGACGCGTCTGAGAGTGTGTCTTCTCTGTATAGAGATGTAAATGAGCAGCGGGGGTCAAGACAGTGGAGGAGGGGGTCAGCAGCAACACAAACTCTGCTAGCCTCTCTTCACTTTAGTCTGCTAGAAATCTCTTAAATTTAACCGTCTTTGTTGAACAAAATGGCAGTGATGCTCAAACAATTACAGCATTAATCAAAAGCTGATGAAGATATATCATAAACTATTTTCCTTTGGTTTCTTTATTTTCATGTTCTCTGTTCTATAGTTGATGATAATCTGAGATCTCAGGCCCTGTCCACAGCAATAATTGTTTTGGGTTTTTTTTGCATTCATACAAGCATTGTTTCAAGGGCTGCGAGCAGATGGAAATGGGGAAACTGGTTAAAATGGTGTGATGTGTATGCTACACCTTATAGAGTAAAACAAGCAGACAGAGTAGCAAGATACACTAAATCACAGAATAGTTGTGCTTCAGCACAAAAATGGCAACAAAGATTACTAAAGTCAGACGATTTTACTATCATGTGACTTTTGATAATCTGTGAATCCTCATGTTCTTTATGCTGCTGTTTATCATTTATTTACAACTATACCCCTGCAAAACCTGTCACAGACACATATCCATTTTAATTTAATTTAATTCAAATTACATTTTCAGCTAAAGACTGGTTAACAAACAGAAATGAAATAATAATGTTTATTTTGTTTTATTTTCCTGATTGAAAACTTACACTTGTTAACCAGTCCTTACCTGTTAGTGACATGATTAGAAATGTACATTTGGAATTAAACTTATTTAAAATGGATAAATAAGGATTAATGTCATTTCGAGCTATGGTTTACACAACACTGGTGCTGTCCTGAAACGAACTTTTTGAACAATGGCTTACAGAGTAAAAACCTGTAACTCTGGAAGAAATGGACTTTATGAAGTGTCTTGACTGAAGTTAGTTTGTCATGGGCCATGAATGAAAAGTTAGTGACTGAAATGGCAGAGGTGGCCTGATGGTGGAGAATTTGTATCCGCCATCAGCTGTTTGGACTCATAGTGTGAGAAATGAACTGCAGTTGAACTTGTCGCAAAATTATTAACAAAATACCAAAAATCACATATGGTACAATGATGAACACTAACTTGTTGTTGTGTAAAATGCAGGAGGAAACTAGCGTCTAATGCTGATGTAATGATGATAATCCAGCAATGTGCTATAACATGTCAAATGGGATCATGAAAGGAGCATTCAAAAATCAACTCATGTAAACTCCTGAATCATATCAATGCCTTATTCTGATTAAGAAACATAATTAGATTACTGATGTCTATGTAAACAAAATCATTGACAGATTACAGAGCTGTGTTTGTGCTGCAGGCACTGCTAAGTTTATTTACACTACTATAACAACATGGTAAAGCTGTGTTAACTCTGTGCTTGGTTGTGTCTTTGCCATCATCTTCTGTTTCTGTCTGTACTCTGCATGTTAATGACTCTTCTGTGAGTTTACTGTATCCAGCATATAGGTGTGGTATACACCTTTATAGGTATTACACCATTTTAACCCGTTCTCCCATTTCTTGAAATAATACTAGTATGAATGCAAAACTTTATAAATCTGCAAAAAATCAAAAAATAAATATAACAATCGTTGTTGTGTAGACAGGGCTTGAGATATCCTGAACTATAGAACAGAGCACATACAATCAAAGAAACAAAAATAAAAGTGTTTATGATATATCTTCATCACTTTTTTCTTTAAATGTTAAAAAGTGTTTTTGTTTCCTATTTTTGAATTGTCATGATTGTCATTTTGAGAAACACAGACAGTTGGAGGTTAGAGACAGAGTTAGAGGTTTGTGTTGCTGCTGACCACACCACTGTAACCCCCACTGCTCATCTACATCTCTATACAGAGCAGACACACTCTCAGACGCTTCAGTATACAACACACACTACAGAGAACAGTTCCATATGCAGAAAGTACAGAAAGACTTTGTCAGTGGTAGTAATTAATAGTGATCTGATTATTTAAAGTAACGTTTAAATATTTGATATAAAAGACAACACAGACAAAACTAAAAAGGTAATTATATAAAAAAAATCCACTTTGATGGTTTAAAAATGTTCAGGCATGAACATTTTTTCAATTTCCATCTGCTCGCAGCTCAGATTATCATCAACTATAGAACAGAGAACATGAAAATAAAGAAACCAAAGGAAAATAGTTTATGATATATCTTCATCAGCTTTTGATTAATGCTGTAATTGTTTGAGCATCACTGCCATTTTGTTCAACAAAGACGGTTAAATTTAAGAGATTTCTAGCAGACTAAAGTGAAGAGAGGCTAGCAGAGTTTGTGTTGCTGCTGACCCCCTCCTCCACTGTCTTGACCCCCGCTGCTCATTTACATCTCTATACAGAGAAGACACACTCTCAGACGCGTCAGTAACACACACATACCTCAGCAAAGTCACAATATCATAAACTAAATTTCACACTCATGAAGACACTGCTAACATTTCAATATTTGACATACAAGACAACACAGATGAAACTAAAAAGATAATTATATTAAAAATCCACTTTGATGGTTTAAAAATGTTCATGCGAACCAATTCCAGAAGCTGAACTGTGGCTGTTAGTGGAAAAGTGAATCTGTGAGTGAATATGTCTGCTTTATCAGGGTCAGTACTGATTTCAAGAGACTTTTCTAGTGTTGATCAGACGTTCCACAGTGTTTTGTATGTGAAATTTGTATGTGAAAAGCCAAATATGTGGCTTTGATTTTACAACATAAGAGCATTGTGCACAAACCGTGGACCTAAACCTAAAAAACATATCACATCTCAGTTTAGGTAACATGTTTCATTGTTGTACTGAATTTAATTGTATTTATTATATTTAATTTAATTAATATGAAGTTAAAAGCTACTAGTGGTCATGACTGAATGAATCATTGACCCATGATGTCAATATTGTGCATTATATTGGTTAGATTTAATTCCAAAGGTACATGTCACTAACAGGTAAGGACTGGTTAACAAGTGTAAGTTGTCAATCAGGGAAATAAAACAACATAAAATTGAACATCCTTAGGTCATATAAATAATGTGTCATATAAATAATTTAAATTGGACAGTGTATATATTTAGGTGTTTTGAAACATCCTAGAGATGTGGACTAATAAGTTGACTTAATTCCTTCATGTTTTCCCAACACAACTCTGTTGTGTGGAACCCAGCATTTTACAGTGATGGATAAATTATAAATAAATCAGATTTCATTCCTATTCCTTGAATAAATGTTAAAAAATGCAAATATTCTGACACTACACACAACTGGGTAATTTAGTTCCTCACTTCACAACAAAACCTTTGAAACCCTTGAAAAAAAACAGTATTCAGCAGTAAAACAAATATTGAGTTTTGAGCTCCAAAATTTTTATGTTGTGTTTGTGATGCTGAGAAATGACGAATAAATGAAACATCGTTCTTAACCAGCCTAGCTTAGATAGTATGGAGCAACACATGTTCAGATGACTTCATATTTACTAATATTTCACTTGTTGAATATCTCTGAAACAACAGTGTTGATAATTATTTAAAAAACAGCAATTGCCTTAAAACATACACTGTAAAAATACTTAAAAGAATAAAAAACATACCAGCTTACCAGTAATTAGAAACAAAATCATGTATTTTTCTTTAAAAAAAATACTACATACAGTCAATCGTGATAAATTTTAAATAACTCCTTCAAATAAATGCAAAGAAATATTAAACACTAAAATGACACTAAACTAAGTTATTCTTTTGACTAGAAAGAAAAATTTTAACCAATCAGTTTACAGTGTACTAATGGCCTGTTTATCTGGGCTTTACTGGCGATAATGGTCAGAAATGTTGGACCATTATTGCCTTTT